ACAACCACTTGACCAACTGACTCGAAGAAATCTATATTTTTTCCCATTCCAGAGAAAAGTGATCCAACAGAGTGTGTAAATTATTGAACAATATCATTAATATCGCATGCAAGTGAGATTCTGCTGAAGATTATCCAAAAATGCCTGGAACAGCACATCAACAGAGAACTGCCAGAAGTCCAGGCTGGGTTTAGAAGGGGTCATGTTACTAGAGATATTGTAGCTAATGTTAGATGGATCTTGGCTGAAAGCTGGGAGTGTCAGAGGAATGTCTATCTGTGTTTCATTGATTATACAAAGGCATTTGACTGTGTGGATCAAAAACTGTGGCTAATTCCATGAGGAATGGGAATCGCAGAATATTTGATCGTGCTAATGTGAAACCTATACTTGGACCAGGAGGCAGTTCTCAGAACTGAGCAAGGGGACACTGCATGGTTCAAAATTGGGTAGGGCATCCACCGCGGATGTGTCCTGTCTCCATACCTTTTCAATCTATATGCAGAACAGATTATCTGGGAGGCTGAGCTCTATGAGGAGAAATGTGACATCAGGATTAGAGGAAGATTCATCAACAATCTCTGTTATGCAGGTGACACCACCCTGTTTGCTGAAACTGAGGAGGACCGGAGTGTTTGCTGCAGAAGGTCAAGGACTGCAGCCTTCAATATGGATTGAGGCTCAATATCCAGAAAACAAAGATTCTCACCACTGGGCCAATTGGCAGAATCATGGTGGATGATGAAGAGACTGAGACTCTTAACAGCTTTAATTTGCTTGGCTCTAGACCAGCAGCCAGGAAATAAAAAGATGTATTGCAATGGCAAAGTCTGCTGTTAGAGACCTCTCCAAAATACTGAAGAGCAATGGTGTCACTCTGGAGCCTAAAGTGTACCTGATACAGTCCATGATCTTTGCAATCACTTGCTATGCATCAGAGAACTGAACAGTGACTAGAGATGATAGAAGGAGAATTGATGCCTTTGAGCCGTGGAGTTAGAGTATTGAATATACCATGAACTGCTAAGAAAACGAATAGGTTCATCCTAGAGAGGGTTAAACCAGGCTGTTCCTTGGAGGCAAGAATTCGGAAGCTTCGTGTGACATACTTTGGACGTGTTGCAAGGAGGGACCAATCCTTAGAGAGGGACGTCATGCTTGGGAGCGTAGAGGGACAGTGTAGGAGAAGAAGACCCTCTATGAGGTGGATTGATTCAGTGACTGGGGCAATAAGAGTAGGTGTGTTGGTTTAGGGTTGTTGTACATAGGAGTCACAGTCAACTCAATGGCACATGACAACAATAATGTATCTTGTCTGAAGCTGAGAATGTTTTCCAATGTTACTTGCTTAATTCTGAAGAGTATCCTTGGAACAGAGCCTGTTGACGGAAATGGTATACAGTTTAACAGGTGTGAAAACAGTGGATGGATCACCTAATGCGTATTCCTTCGGTATCCAGGAAGAAAAGGGTACTTCATACATAAAGCAGAGAAAGAAAGTGCTTCATGTATGCTTTGGAAAGCATGAAGTGCCTCTCATGGAGTTGGCCTGGCCATGCACTCTGCATCAGGGCCACACTGCTCTGTACTTGTTCGAACTGTTTTAGTCCTTTCAAGTCCTTTCAAGCTGCCGTAACAAAATGGCATACACTAGCTGGCCTTCAAAGATAGCACTTTATTACCTCATGATACTAGAGGCAGGTCAGGTCACACTCCCTCTGAAGTCTTTCAGGAAAGATCCTTTCTTGACTTTCCCAAAATTTGTTAGGCCTAAATTTTCCTTGGCTTATGGATATGTTTTCATGGTCTTTCTCTCTCCCCTCTCCCCTCTCCTTTCCTCTCCTCTCTCCTCTCTCCTCTCTCCTGTCTCTCTCTCCTCTCTCTACTTCCTCTCTCCTCTCCCTCTCCCCTCTCCCTCTCTCCTCGCTCCTCTGTCCTCTCCCCTCTCCCCTCTTTCCTCACTCCTCTGTCCTCTCCCCTCTCCCCTCTTTCCTCACTCCTCGTTCCTCTCTCCTTTCTCCTCGCTCCTCTCTCCTCTCCCCCTCCCCTCTTTCCTCGCTCCTCTCTCCTCTCCCTCTCTCTTCTCTCTTCTCCCTCTCTCCTCTCCCCTCTCCCTCTCTTCTCTCTCCTCTCTCCTCTCTGCCACTTCCATTACTTAAGGACATCAGTGAGGTGGGAGTAGGACCTATCATACTCTAGTATGAATTCATGTTTGTTAACTAGCCGATGATGTTTTCCAAGTAAGGTCACAGATACAGGTATCAGGGATAAGAACTTTAACAGATATTTTGGGGACCCACAATTCAGTACTTAACAGGGGCCTGTGTTCCTTTTCTGTGTCCAGCATTGTGATGATAAGAATAGTCGCTGCCGTTCAGAAATGAATGTCCAGTCAGCATGGAAGAAGGGCTATACTGGGAAAAATGTGGTGGTTACCATCCTTGACGACGGCATAGAAAGGAATCACCCTGATCTGGCCCCAAACTACGTAAGTCAAGCCCAGGAGCTCAACCCCCAAGGACATTCAGCCATGGTAGGAACTAAATAGTCCAAGTGAAAAAAAAAAAGAAAATAACCAAACACTAAGAAAGCAGTCCTGGGGAGGACAGATGAAACAATTACCTTATCCCCTACCTGATGGTGTAGGGACAGTGACTTCACAGATAGAGGGATTTGTCTGTATTTGAGAGATGGATTGATAAGTGTTGTGGCAAAATATGTGGGACAATAAGGATGGTGCAAGATAGGATAGAAATCAGATCTGTTGTTCATAAGGTCATTCTTGACTTGATGGCACCTAACAACAAGGACAAGAGCTAAAACATCCCTACATGGAAATGTGGATCATATGAATATTAACAACAGACTGGTTTCACAACTGGGCTCTGGACCTAAATCACCTAGATTCTATCCTGGCTTTGCTTCCTCTCAGCTTTGTGACTTTGGCCAAGTTGCTTAATTTACTTGGACCTCATTATCTGAAAATAGGGTTAATAATGGGACTACTGTCTTATACAGAGACATTCTGTAGGGGGCTGTACTGCTAACACAAAAGTAGCCCCTCTCTGGCAGTGCAAATCTGCCAGTGGCTCCAAGGAAGAAAGATGGGCAGTCCCCTGCTGTGCAAACCTGGGGGTTTCCAACTCAGCTATGAGTCAGTTCCAACTCGATGGTAATGAGAATGATATTAATCTCATACAAATATTACCAGGATTAGATGAGTTAACAAGTATGAAGAGCAGAGCCTGTATAGTATGATAAATGCCTAACAATGATTACATAAATCATATTATAGCTGTTTGACAGATTATTTTGAAGCCACTAAAAATGATAGTTTTGAAGACTATAAAAGTTTTATAAGGTGTTTTAAAAGAAGAGGGCAAAATTATATGGACATTATGATAATGGCAAGTATGTAAACAAGAACATGGTATTTTAAAAACTAAAGGATGATGGGGTTGAACAGTATCATATGTGTTTCTGTTTTCCAGGAGAGGTGAAAACCATTTTTAACAAGGCTTTACTGTGTTGTGTCATCTGTCTTTGCTCTTAGGATGCCTACGCAAGCTACGATGTCAATGGGAATGACTATGACCCATCTCCACGTTATGATGCCAGCAATGAAAACAAGTAGGTCATCGTCATCTCATCTCCTTTTTCCAGGGTCCTTTGTTCTTTCTGCAGAGTCACTACTGCATTTTCACATTAAAGTAACTAACCCCCAGCAGGGGCTGGGGGGTGCGGGGAGGGGGTTGTCTGGGCATTCCTCAGGAGTCAGAAGGCTCATCCCGGTGACCTCCAGCACCCCCAGGCAGCCTGGTCTTTGAGGTGTCACCTCTACTAATCAGCTATAAATGGGTATTCCAGATGTTGTTCTGTTTTCAACCTTGTTGGACTACTTAGAGAAAATAACCCTTAAGTCCAGTGGGCTCCATGACCCACTGTTTTAAAGAAGCCATTTGCCTCAATGACAAGATTCTTCATGATGCTCTGCTTAATCCCTGGGCTGTTAAGTGAATGGTCAGTGGTTCAAGTTCATTCAGCTCCCCTAAAAGTCACAGCCTCCAAGGAACTCATGCAATATTATTCAAAATGGGTGA